GTGTCTATATCTATATATTTATGAAGTCCCTGAGTGGTGCAAATGGTTAATTCATGTTGCTGCTAACAAAAATGTTGGCAGTTTGAGTAACCCAGAAGGGCCTCAGAAGAAAGGCCTGGCAATTGAGTTCTGCAAAATCAGCCAAGGAAAATCCCAGGGAGCACAGTTCTACTCTGACACACATGGGGTCATCATGAGTCTGAACTGATTTGATGGCAACTGGTTGGTGTTTATAGCTATGGCTACAACTATCTCTCCCTTTATACATGTATGTCATTGAGATCCCTATCTACAGTGATACTTATTTTAAAACATTTCCTTCCAATTTTTAAACCCTCCTCTCTAACAGTCACTCCAATTTGGGTGGCTTCATTTTGACTTCTCATTTGGTCATCAAAAATTCCAGCAGGTCTGCAGGGTTGGAATGGGCTGTAGGTTTAAGAAATACTGACTTTGTAAGAACTCAATTTCATCTTAGGTAAAAATCAGTAGTCTAATAATCAAAGCAGTACATCAACAGGTAACTGCCAGAAAGTCAAGCTGGATTCAGAAGAGGATATGGAGTGAAGCATGTCATTGCTGATGTCAAATGGATCTTGATTGAAAGCAAAGAATACCAGAAATATGTTTACCTGTGCTTTATTAACTTTGCAAAGACACGTGATTGTGGATGATAACAAATTATGGATAATATTGGAAAGAATGGAAATTGTAGAACATACATTTGTGCTCATGAGGAACCTGTACATAGTCTAAGAGGCAGTGGTTCATACAGACAAGGGTATATTGTGTGGTTTAAAATCAGGAATGGTATGCATCAGGTTCATATACTTTCACCATCCTTATTCAATCTGTATGCTGAGCAAATACTCTGAGAAGAATTATTTGAAGAAGAATGCAACATAAGGTTTGGAGGAAGACTCGCTAACAACCTGTGATTCGCAGATGACACAACTTTGCTTGCTGAAAATGAAGACTTGAGTTGTTCTGAAGAAGATCAAAGACTTCCAGAAAAAAAAAAAATCCTCACACTGACCAATAAGAACCATTTTGATAAACAGAAAAAAGATTGAAGTTGTCAAGGATTTAATTTTACTTGGATCTATAGTCAATGCCCATGGAATCAGCAGTCAGGAAATGAAAGGATGGTG